AACTAATCCTGTTTGAGTTATAGACTCAAGGGCCACAGACCATTTGAGCAAGGATCATGACAACTTCACAGAATTTCATCAGTTACCTGCAAGAAGCAGATGCTTTATGTTGGAACAACATGAGAGTAGAAGTCAAAGGGATCAGTACTCGTGAGCTAACCCTGCATGGAGGAAAAACGCTAGCCCTGCAAAATGTCCTTTACGCTCTGAAAATCTGACAAAATCTTGTGTCTGTTATTTCCTTAGTTAAATTTCATTTCAATGTCCTTTTTCATGATTTCACAGTAGACATTTCGTATGGGACCAATTTTTCAGTTTCTGATTATGTTTCGGATGGTTTCTTTGTTCTAGAGAATTCTAATGACAATTTTTCTAGTTCTTGCTATGCATTTTCTTTCGATGTCAATTACGATATATGAAACGCTAGATTAGGACATATTGGTCAAGAACGCATGACCAAACTGGCAAAAGAGGTTTTGCTAGGAAACGTCCAAAAAGGAAATGTCTCTATGTGAACATTGCCTCGCTGGCAAGAGCACAAGAAAACCTTTTAGAAAGGCAACCAGGGCTAACCACCCTCTTGAACTAGTACACTCTAATATTTGTGTACCAATGAGTGTTAGGGCATGTCACGGAGTATGGTATTTTATTACCTTCATCGATGATTCTTCCCGATATGGCTATACTTACATGATTTCCCACAAATTTGAGGCATTAGAGTGCTTTAGAAAATATCTCAATCTAGTGAAAAATCAGTTAGGTTCAAGAATCAAAGCCTTAAGAACTAACCGAGGTTGAGAATACTTCTCTTATTAGTTCAAGGAGCTTTGTGAAGAAAGGGGTATTGTTAGGGAACTAACAATCCCCTGCACTCTTCAACAAAATAGAGTTGCTGAAAGGAGAAATAGAACTCTGCTCGATATGGTTAGGTCAATGATGGCACAAGCTGAGCTTCTAGCCTTATATTTGGGCGATGCTCTTTTAATTTCCATATTCATACTTAACCGAGGGCCTTCTAAATCAGTCACCACAACCCCTTATGAATCATGGACAAACCGTAAATCAGATCTAAGCATCCTAAGACCATAAGGGTCAACGGCCTACATTCGTGATTCTTCCCATAAGTATGACAAGCTAGAACCGAGGGGAGAAAAGTGTATCTTCATAAGATACTCTGAGAACTCTAAAGGGTATGTCTTTATTGGTGAAAATGATAACGGCTCAGTGACTAAGATAGAATCAAGGGACACAACATTCATAAAAACTAAATTTCCTAGTAGAGGGAGTATTGATTGAACAAGTTGTCTTTATGAGGATAATAGCAATGAGGTACAACAAAGTGTTCCTCAGTCTACTGATCCAAGTGGGAGGGTTAAACCATTTTGACAACAAGGTATAACTCAGCCACATGAAGAAAGTCTTGCAGCAACCCCACTTAAGAGAAGTAACAGAGACAAAACTCTTAGGAGACGCTTCTCAATTGAAGGAGCAACCTTCATCGTTAGTCCAGAAAATGATGAAGAAGACCCCATAAGTGTTAAAGAAGCACTAACAAGAGGAAATGGATTCCATGAAGTCCAACCAAGTATGAGAATTAGTTGATCTACCACCTGGCTAAAAGGCAATTAGGAGCAAGTGGGTTCTCAAGTACAAACATAAGGCTGATGGATCAATTGATAAACCCAAAGCAAGGTTAGTTGCCAAAGGGTATACACAACGGGAAGGAGTGGATTACAGAGACACTTTCTCACTTGTTGTACGTTTCAACTCGATACGACCGATACTGGCTCTAGTAGCAAGTTTAGACTTAGAGTTACATCATATGGATGTAAAAACTGGTTTCCTGAATAGAGAACTAGATGAAGAAATCTATATGGAACAGCCTGAGAGCTTCATACAAAAAGGGAACAAATAAAAGGTTTATAAACTCTTAAGATCCATTTATGGACTCAAGCAATCATCTAGGCAGTAGCACTTAAGGTTCCACAAAGCTATAAGCTCCTATGACTTCAAAATGATCGGGGATGATCACTGCGTTTATATCAAGCAGTTTGGAGACAACTTTGTCATTCTATCCCTCTATGTCGACGACATACTCCTAGCTAGTACCAATCTTAAACTAATAAAGATGATTAAAGAGTAGTTATCCTTGAACTTCAAGATGAAAGGCATGAGTGAAGCAGAATATATCTTAGGCATTAAGATAAGAAGAGATCATTCTAGAAAATTGCTATCATTGTCACAAAAGGCATACATAGCAAAGATTCTTGAGCATTTCAATATAAAAGACTGTAAGCCTATGGATACCCCTGTGGTTAAGGGATATAACCTAAGTGAGGGAATGCGTCATATAAAACAATGCGATATAGAACGCATGAAGAGAGTCCCATACTCGAGTGCCGTTAGTAGTCTAATGTATGCTATGCTATGTACCAGGCTAGACATATGCTTCACAGTTAGACTTGCGAGCCGATTCCAATCCAATCCAGGAGTAAAACACTGGGAAGCTGTAAAGAGGATTATGAGATATCTAAAAGGAACCATGGACTATGAGTTGTGCTATCAAGGAAACGGCTTTCGTGCGGAGGGTTATTCTAATGCTGATTAGGCAGGAGACTTGGACGAGCAACACTCAACGTTAGGCTATACTTTCCTACTGAACAACGAAGCAATCTCCTGGAGCAGCAAGTAACAAACATGTGTGTCTCTTTCATCCATGGAAGCAGAATATGTAGCATATTCTGCAGCTGTCCAAGAAGCTGTATGGCTCAAAAGATTCTTAGTACGATTGGGAATCCATGGTGGTAGTAAGGGACCAACTCTAACTCACTACGATAGTCAAGCAATAATAGCCTATGCAAAGGACCTTAAGTACCACAATCATACTAAGCATATAGATATAAAATATCACTTTGTAAGGGATATGATCGCTAAGAAAAAAGTGACAGTTCAATACTTGTTCACTCATAAGATGTTGGCAGATCCCCTAACCAAGCCTATAGCTAGAGATCCTTTTGTCAAGCATGTAAAGGCCCTGGGCATGCATAGAGCATGATGTATTGAACTCCTTTTTCTTTTTGATCCTTTTTCCTGTTCAGTTACACATGCACAAGGCATGTTGTACTAAACTTTTTCATTCCCTCTTATTTAGTAATTCAATGCATTTTATTTAGTTCAAAGAAATTTTCTTGTATATACATTTGTGTATTTATACATGCATAGGCATGAGGTATGAAATACCAATATGTCATACAGGTCACAAGGTTGGCTCACTCACACAAGTAACTGCTTCGCTATGTTCTCATGGGACATAGAAGGTTTGACAGCAGATGATCACCATGAGATGGTAGAGAAGAATCACTGCACAAATGTCGCCTCAGCTAGACTAAGATGAGACCCATAAAAGTCAAGGCCAAATCATGGATAATGTGTAATCTATGAGACCTGTAGCCAGACAAGGAACTCTTCACTTGTAAGACGTCATATATAGTTGTGATAAAAGAGCTCTCGGTTCAAATGTTGAAGTGTATTTGGAACTCAAGTCTGTACGGTGCTACTAAAACCAAAAGTGACATACTCCACTTAGTGGAATGAGCACTGTAGCATGCAATTCATACTGCATGAGCTCACTCAAACCTGCAACATAGGGCGTAGATGGAAGATCTTTGATCCATTACGGTATGAGTCCCAGAAAGGAAATAAACCTTTCATAATGCCCTCAAGACTTAGACAGCATCAAAAGGGTTTGGTTTAGTGACAGCTGCTCTAGCCTAAACCCCATGGTCAAGAATAATGCAATCTAACGGGTCAAGATTGGGAAAGTGACTGTGCCAAATCTAAATATTGAATAGTCAAAAGGAAGATTTATCCAAAGTAAACATCTACGTTAGTGTCTGTGACAGGTCCCCTACAAGTTGAACATAACAACTAAGCAAGTATGGATATCATACGTATAGGAAGGCAAGCTAAGTAAACAAAATAACTCGAGAGGGATTAGATATGCCACAAGTAAAGTGTATGGATAAAACTAGGGCATTCGAGGCAACAAGTATACAATTTGCAAGTACACTAAGGGTGTTCTTGTGTGCTGGTCCTGTATAAAGGACTCCCAATGCACAAGCACCTGAATCAATGACGTCATTCCCACGCGGTCACGGCAGACACATAGTATGAAGCAATGCAAGATTTAGTTATCGCACAACGGACAGCCCATCAAGTGCGAGTGGGAGATGTTAGATTTTGGGCTTGGATTCACCTTTGATGGGCCGGACTATTTGATTGGATATTAAGAGAATATACCTGTCAAATATCTAAGCAAGATTATGATATGTTTGACTTGGTCAAACATCATGAATCAAATCCAATCGGTTACGATATAAAGTTAATTGATTTATATTATATATAAATTTAATTAATTTATATTGTATAGATTAAATATATATTAAATATATATTTAGAATTAATTGTGATTGATTCTGGATTTGAATTCAAATATCATGATATTATGAGATAAGGATATATTTATATATCCTAACTCAGATTTAACCTTATGGGCTCAATGGATATTTTGGCTTCCCAAAATACCCTTGACAAAAGCTATAAATAGAAGCTTCCACCCATCAATCCAACTCACTCCAGTGGTTGAGCTTTCCTACTATCTCTCTCTCTCTCTCTCTTATTCTTTCTTGCAAAGATGTGCTCTGCTGTACACTCAAAGCTTAAACTTTTATAGTTTAGCTTATAGCGTGAGCTTAATAGATCTACCCAATCCAACCCGAGATCCAACCTGGTACGTTTCCCAATCCGTTATCTTTTTTTTTGGCCCCTATCAGTTATTGAGCATGAAATTAAAACTTATAACCCACATTCATATCCATTTGCACCACAGGCAATCATATTGATATACAGAGCATATAGTACACTTTTAACTTGTGGTGCATAGTTTGTGAATTTCTGGGACTAGCATAATAGGAGAGAAACAAACGAAGAAAAAGACGATAGAGACTAAACAAACTCAGTGATTATATTGCTCTTGAATTTCATGGGCATTCTCGTCTTTTCAATAAATAAATTTCTTATCCTGCTTTCACCAAACATACCTTTACAACTCACTTTCACTTTCACTTCTATTGCTATGCGGAAGATGCAAGCATAAAAGGAACTATGTGACATGGATGTCATTTAATGAATGTACTAGCCAAGTTCAAAGGGCTAGGAGTTGTTTCATAGTAATGGGTGAAGTGTATTGAGATGGTCCATTGAAAATTCTATCAGCGAAGATACGAGAAGCTGCTTCAGTAGGATGGTATTGATCCCAAAAGATATGATCGTTTCTATTAGGACAAAAGCTAGTCACCAGCAGACATGGAACCCTCGCTCTAAGCTCCCCCAGCCCACAACATGCTGCTTTTACTTCCGAAAATCCTGTGAGCCATCCAATCATATATATAATTAAAATGTAGATTTAATCTCATTGCTATAAATGTCCCATCAACTCCTCTATTGCTCTCTCCTTGTTATTTGCATTAGATACTTTTAATATTAGGGAAGATCACATTTAAAAGCCCTAATCTGTTTTTTTTTTGGCCATACGTTTAAAAGCCCTCTAAGAAGATTAATTATAGTTGAGAATTTTGGAATTTTAAAATTTCAACGAAGATCGCATCATGTATGGTTCTTGAGATGGGATAAAACTTTTTGAGTGAATTTTTTCAGTTTCATCTTTTATATTTTCAACACTCATCTTTTATACCTTTAACAGTTATCTTTAACATTTTCAATATTCAATTTTTAAAATTTTTCAGTAGTTAATTTAGATATTTTCAATACTCATCTTTCCTGTTTTTACCTCACATCTTTAATTCTTTTCAGTATTCAAAACATGAAAAATTAGTATTGAAGACAGTTTAAGATGTCTACTCAGATAAATTTAAAAAAAAACTGAATATTGAAAATACTAAAGTTGACTACCAAAACTGTGGAAGATGAGTATTGAAATTATGGAAGATGAGCAATAAGAAAACTAACTCAAAAACAATTTTATTCCACCAAAAAAATCATGAGAGGTCCTAGATATTATTAATTTCCCTTAATATTATTATCCCAAAAGCTCACTCAAATGTGTCTGTCTTCAAAATAAAATTCCCGTCCATATATATATATTACACTAATTAGTAATTCCCAAACAATTAACAATCACCCGCCTACGTTCTTCTTCAAATTTTTACTAGCAAAATCCATTTTTAACCTTGTGTGTTTGATTACCCCTTTACAAAATCCAAATGTCCGTTTTTGTGTCTGCGTGGCTATATATATGTGCGTGTGTATGTATATATAAATAACATACCATGAGAAGAAGGGTTGAGGATGAGGTCGTAATTGGCGGCGTAGGTGTCAAAGAAAGAGTAGGTAAGACCTTCGTTCTGGGATTGCCATTCCTTCAACGTTGATTTGAGGCCTTCATTGTATTTAAGTGCCCAATGATTGATCTCTTCTTGACATTCTGTCTTGTTCTTCAACCTATACGCTGGGCAGCACCCAAGAGCGCCTACGCCAGCTATCTCAAACTTGCGCCCCCCATTATCGTATATTCGCTACATATAACAGCCACGTTAATAATATTTATTTATGCATTACTAATTTAGTTAATTAGCTATAATTAATCAATAATTTATTTATAAATACATATGGTTGGTTCATTAATTGGAGAAATACTTACATATTCCAAGAGCATGCCACATCTTCATTGGAACTCTATCCAGTAGAAATACAAAACTCAGATCATTTTAATCATAGTTGACTGATGACCTATCTGACGCAATTTACATTTTAATTTGAGCTAAATGAGTTATTTTTTTCCCCAAACTAAGAGGTCTATTTTTCTTAAAATCAAAACAAAATGTAAGTTGCTTCAGATAATAAGTTATCATCCAATTAGAATTAAATTAATACGAGTTGTTGTGTTTCCATTGGACAGAGTTATGATGATGTGGCACTCTTGGAGTATACAAGTATTTCTCCATTAATTGATTGTTTAGTGATTATACCTGAAGTTGGGCTGTGAGGGAGGAAACCATGGAGTCCACGTACTGCTGAGGGGTGCTTTTGTGACGGAGTTTGGATGAATCAAAGTAGCCGAACAGATCGTTGCTGCCAATTACAACAGCGAAGATGGAAGTTGAGAGATGGTCTTGTAAATCAGAGATTCCTATTTGCTTTGCCATTTCATCGTGTGCTTCCACGTAGTAATCCACTTGCTTCGTCAAAGGAATTGACTGCCTCTGTAAAAATATATCAAAATCATCAAAAATAACTATTAGAAGAGCTTCCCCACTTAAAAGTTAAAACGGTAAAGTTTGTGTTTTTCTACTATTTTTTAAGAAGAAATAAAATTGCACGATTTTGGTATATGAATACCTGTGTGTAAAAGAAAACAAAATTATGATCGTTGATTAAAAAGCTCCGGTATATTTATAGAGCACCATAAAACAACATTTTTTCTTTTTTTCTTTTAATAAAAATTTATTTTCTTCTCATCGCGCATAAATTTGTCTAATTACCTAGCTATTTGCTTCCTATTTTTGTTTATGGGGTGCTCACTTCTAATTGTTGCATTTGCCTGTGATGGTTGGTCCTTATTATAGATTGCTATTTGGGAGTAACTGGTGGGCAGTATTCCGTGTAAAAGGAAAAAAATAGCAAGTAACCTTTTTTAAAAAAATAAAATAAAAAAGGAATTGGTGTTGTCATAACCAGACCTACTGTATAATCAGTTGAGGCAGTAGTTTATGATTTATTAATGAATTCGTTGCTAAAATTATATGTTTATTTTTTGTGGAAGAAAAAATAGAAATTAAATCAATTAATGTTGATATTAATTAATACTAATAGTAAATATATGGATGTCTGGAAATAAAATAATGTTAAAAATAAATATATAAATATTTGGAAGTGGGTGTAGAAGAGAAAAAGGTGGGGGGGTTCCTTTGAGACGCCAGAGGAGGGTCATTTATAATAGGAAAAATTTAATAATCAATCATTTCTTGTACTTTCCACTCATTTTTAAGTAGATCCCACTTTTTTTTTTTAATTTCTTCATATGATTTTCACGGCCAAAGAAGTTAGTCGCCAAAATTAAAATTATTCACAAAATTATGCTTCTAATTCAAAAAAACAAAAACAAGTAGCATAGCTTGTGTGAGAGAGAGGGGGGGGGGGAAGGGAGAGGGAGAAGGGAGAGAATAAAGGGCACTTACGTAGCGTTCGTCGGACCCATCGAATATTCCAGCCCCAGCAGAGGCAAAGCTTGTCCCTCCCGTGAAAGATACATTGTTTTTGTTGTTCTTTGCCTCCGAAAGCAGAGATAAGTAAGGTGTTGAAGTTGGCAAACCCAATTCCTCGGCTTCCATATCCAATAATAAAACAACAAACATCAAATATCGTTTAATATTTTAAGCTCAAATGTTCTCATAATAATCACAGCTATTTCAAACTACAAAATAAAATATTTAAACTATCAGAGGACCCTCAATTACAAAATCGATCCCAAATTCTAAATTAAATCTTAAACTATCAAACTGCTAAACTAATCAGATCCTTCAATTAAATATTTTAAACTTGAAATGTTTTTAAATTAAATTTATCTCTTAAAATCATAAACCCCTCACAGATAGACAATGCCCATGCTTTATCAAAGCGCACTGGTGTAATTTTCAAGTTATCCCCCTTGACTCCTCCAGTGGTTTACATATATATTAAAAAAAAAAAAATAGAGAATCAGGTTCTTTCATTTCGCTCTCCCTTTTTTGTTTTATATTTTATTGCTGCAAACGATAAAGCTTACAGTTAAACTTTACAAGCTTTATAAAAGTTAGTTCATGACTTCCATGTTGGGTTGTCTCTCTTTATGTTTTCTGGATATATATCATTATCAATCAAGTGGGTCTCTTCGCAGAAAGATGCAATATGTATTATCTATTGGTTCGTGATATATGCATGTATGTTTATATGTATATCCAATATATGAGGGATACTTGGAAACTACGCTTAACTGTGGAAAAGAAGAAAAAAGACTAACTGAGAAATTTGGCAAAAAGCTATTGAAATTATTTTGGAAAAAAAGATAATATTCGAAATAATCGTTTAAAGTATGTCTGGGAACACATGTATGCACGATAAAAGTGAGAGAGATATGAGTTTGACATGTAACGATCGAGAGTCATCAATTCGTGATATAATGTTATTATGTTTTTATTATCCTTTAAAATAGGTTATTTCATGAGTGGCGATTGAGAACAATGCTATATGCTAATTGGTGCGACCTAAATTATAAATACTTTTAGAATTAATACAAATTTTGGTCTGTCAGAAAATGGGCCAGTCCACCCTTGGTGGATTGGATCCAAGCCCAGCATCATTTGGGGTCTTGGTATAAATTACAAAACATATGGGTCCCTAACTGCAATTTTAGCCTTTTTTATCTGACATGCAAAATGGGGGGAACGGTTGGACTAAGGAGGCGGTTTATTAATTTCAAACGTGTGGAGTTACGTAACTGATCCAAGCGGGATCATTTTGTGTAAGGCGTTTTTTCTCGACAAGCAGTTGGTTCCTCCAAACCCCCCCAACTCTCTGAACCTCTCCTTCTCTGTGTATTTGTTGTGTCTTCAAGATCCGAGTTCCTACAGTAACCGGACCTCCGCGTGGCTATCTGAGACTATCTTATACTTCAGGTACGCCCGAAAACCATTATTGGTATCAGAGCTTTGGTTTTAACAAACCATTTCTTCCGCTGCGCCACTCTGATTTGTGTAGATTCTGTTTAGCGCATCGGTTCGTTTACTCCAGTCCCCTTTTTTTTTTCCTTCAGTCTGCGTTTTCTTTTCATATGTGTGTTCGTTCACTATTTTTGGTAAACATATGTATGCTAGATTACATATATAAGTGAGTACAAGAGTCCTAGAACAGATAGAACACGAGGGAAATGCTTAGAACGCACCAAGATAGAAACAAAGGACCGAAACCGTGAATGGGTCATTGAAAAACCATAGATTTAGGCTTCAAATTTAGTCCCATTACGTAGGCCTCGCAAAAACGAGAAAAATGGCACCGGTTTCGTCGAAAACGGACGTCGGACGGTGAAGTTACGCCTGAAAACGTGTTCGGGTCCGTCGGACCCGACCCGTGAACAGTACCGGGTCGGACGGACCCGGCTGGAGGTTGAAGACAACCTCCAGCCCCCCCAAACGACGTCGTTTTGACGTCATATAAAAAAAAAAAAAGGAGGCTGGGCAGATGCGTTGGTTGGGCTGGTTTGGTCCGGATCCGGATAGGACCGGACCAAGCCCAACCCGGAAAAAAAATTAAAAAAAAAATATATATAACAATTTAAAAAAAAAAAAAGGTTTGCCAGAATTGCCACGTGGCGCGTGCCGCCACGTGGCACACCTCTTCGACACGTGGACACCACCACCTGAAAGGTGGTGGCGCGTGGAGGCCGCCGGCACGGCGCGTGTCCTCGGCGGCCGGCGTTGTGGCGGCGCGTTACGTACACGCGCCGACAGCGAGAGTGGGCGAAGGTTTTTTTTTTTTTTTTTTCGCTAATTCTTCCTTCTAGGGGCGCGTGTAGGCGCGTGAATGGTCCAATTGGGGTGTGGTTTGTCTCTAAAAATCCCTAAAATTATGATCTTCATTTTAATATATAATTTGATAGTTTTGGAGGCAATTTAGGATCCATTTAAGAGTATTTTAGTGCGTTTTCTGGTGTTTTTATGTGGATAAAAAATTCCAGAATATTCAAAATAATTTATATTATTTTGTTCTAGGTGAAAATGGAGCAAGAGGCTTCTAGTAGCACTGAAAATACCGATCATGGTTCATTGGAATACTCATTCCTAGGTGATGGAATTCCAGAATATGAACCTGAGGATGAGGATCCTGAGGAGGACCTTGAAGAGGTTCCTCAAGAAGACCCAGAGGAGTTAGTGGATTCCGGACCTGAGTCGGAAACAATGTTCCCCACTGAACCCCTCCCTATCGAACCTCAATTAGTCTATAAAGATTCACTGGATCTCCCTAATGAAATTGAAGTTGAGGAAGGAGAAGAGGTGAACCAACCTTTGACCCCCGCATTAGCTATGAGTATAGCTGAAAGAGATGCAGCAAAACTGACAAATATAAAAGGAATCAATGGCGTGCTCGCCAATTACATCCAATACATGACCGATAAGAAGAATACAGAATTCTACCTTAAAGTCATAATGGAGTACATAAGAGCAATAAGGGTTAGAGGCGGACCTAAAGGCAAACCCATAAGAAAATCTTACTGGATTTGGGCCATAGAGCTAGTATCCTCTTTTATGAACAAAAAACGCAAACTCAGGAGCCTAAGGAAAACAATGCTTGATTACCTTTATGTGCATATTAAATAATGTAACATTTACATATGCTTTATTAATATTTGTTGTATTAAGTTTTTTTTATGGTTTCATGCATTGTAAACAGATTAAGTATGTTGTTTCATTTAATGAAATTACTTGAATTGTTGTTATATGATTATCTTATGAATAATATGTGTATGCTTCTTTATAAGTGGGAGCTTTTAGAAGATAAGACTTCTAAAAGTCATAATTTTTAAGTGCTTATATAAAATCCTTGATAGGAAATAATGTTTGTTGCTTGTATCTGTGTGATGGGAGGTACAAACGTATGCTCTTGATCATAGATCTTGCAGCATCATTACTTTCTGATCAAGGATGATATAAGTACAAGACATTGTATACTTCGCTGTGCTATATATAACTAAGATGTTCTCTGGTACGTCTCTTTTAGAGAGAACGTAGAATAATGTGGGATAAATTTGCTTCAGAACTGAAAATGGCAACCAAGAACATAATTGCTGAGCTTAATAAGGGAGAAAAGCTCAACGGGGATAACTGGGACATATGGCACCGAAAGGTTCAATACATCTTGGAGGAACAAGATGCGGTTGAACCTCTAACCACTGCAATGGTCGAGCCTGAAGTTGGCAATACGGCCCAACATAGGAGAGACCAAGAGGCTTACCTAGTGTGGAAGAAGAAAAACAGCATAGCAAGATTACGCTTCTGAGTGCCATGGCTGATGACATTATGTGCGAGTTTGAGAGGCACAAAACTGCACAGGCTATGTGGATAGCGTTAAAGGACAAGTTTGGTGGTACTTCTACCACTAAACTTAGAAGGTTGACGATTAAGTTCGACACCTATAAGCTCAAGCCAAACAATCCAATGAAACAACATTTGAGAGAGATGGCCAACATGATCAGAGAACTTAAGGAAGCAGGCCATGTCCTCTCTGATGAACAGCAAGTGCAGGCTGTTATCAGATCGCTTCCTGCTAGCTGGGAACACATGAAAGTCAACCTGACCCATAATGAAAACATCGTTACTTTTAACGATGTGGCCAAACACTTGGAGCTGGAGGATGAACGTTTAGAGGCTTACAAGACCTCTGGACAAGCTTATTACACCGAGGATGCCGGTACTTCCCAATCAAGGCCCGATTCCAAGAAGGGCAAGAAGTTTCAAAAGAAAGGGAAGAAGGGTGGTCCTCAATCCAAAAAAGGAAAGAAGCAATTCAAGAAGAAGGGAAAGAAAGGTGGGAAGAAGAAGCTAGACCTGAAGAAGGTCAAATGCTTCGCCTGCCAGAGAATGGGCCATTTCGCACGTGACTGTTCAAAACAGCTGAGAGCGAAAAGGTATTAGTGGATTATGTGAATTCACATGTTTCATATGTTTCAAGTACTGTTTTTCTAACAGAACCCGTTTCTTCTTCTTGGATTATAGACTCAGGCTCCACAGACCACGTAACCAGGGATCGAGGATCCTTTATCGAGTACCGTCGGTTGCCGTATCAAAGCAAGTGGCTTTACGTTGGGAACAACGCGAGGATCGAGGTTAAAGGTTTGGGCACCTGCAAATTTACTTTGCGTGGTGGGAAGACCTTAATACTCCATGATGTACTTTATGCTCCTGACATCCGGCAGAACTTGGTTTCTGTATTGTGTCTGTTAGAATTTGGGTTTAATGTAAACTTTCATGGTAAAGTTGCAGACATTTTTAGCAACTCAGTTCTTTATGGTTCAGCTTTCCTGTTTAAGAAGTTCTTTGTTTTAGATATTGTTGGTGATTTCAATAGTAATGAATGCTTTGCTGTTTCTTCGAATAACATTGATATAAACACCTGGCATGCTAGACTAGGACACATTAATCAAAATAGAATGATTAAACTAGCAAAAGAAGGATTGTTGGGTGCCATTCCCAATATGGAAATGTCACTATGTGAGAACTGTCTAGCTGGTAAGGCAACAAGAAAGCCTTTCGGTAAGGGAAAAAGGGCTGAAACTCCATTGCAATTAATCCA